TCAGTGGGAGTAATAGTGCCCCATCATTGGTGGCAGTGGGAGGAATAGTGCCCCATCATTGGTGTCAGTGGGAGGAATAGTGCTCCATAATTGGTGTCAGGGGGAGGAATAGTGCCCCATCACTGGTGTTAGTGGGAGGAATAGTGCCCCATCACTGGTGTCATTGGAAGGAATAGTGCCCCATTGTTGGTATCAGTGGGATGAATAGTGTTCCATCATTGGTATCAGAGGAAAGAATAGTGCCCCATCCTTGGTATTAGTTGGAGGAATAGTACCTAATTGTTTAGATCAGTGGGAGGAATTGTTCCCCATCATTGGTGTCAGTAGAAGGAAAAATGCCCCATAGTTGATGCCAGTGGAAGAAATGGTGCTTCCTTGTTGGTATCAGTGGGAGGAATAGTTCCCTGAGGGCCAGATAGAGGCAAGCAAAGGGCCACATTCGGCCCACGGGACACAGTTTGGAGGGACCACTGGGATAGAAAGTCAAAGAATAGAACAGAAAATAAAAAAATAATAATTTAGAATGGAATAGAAAAGATTAGAATAGAAAATCAAAGAATAGAATAGAAAATAATAGAATCATTTAGAATGGAATAGAAAGATTAGAAAAGAAAATCAAAGAATAGAATAGAAAATAATAGAGTAAAACAGAGCAAAATAGAACAGAAAATAAAGGAATAAAATAGAATAGAAAAGATTAGAATAGAATACAAAATTAAAGAATAGAATAGAAAAGAATAGAAAAGATTAGAATATAAAATCAAAGAATAGAATAGAACAGTATAGAAAAACAATAGAATAGAATAAAATAAAAAGAAGGGAGGGCAAAAATGCCTGCACCAGCCAGCATCTGTCATTGGAATGGCCCCACCAACCCACGTAGGCATTTTAGTAAATATATGAAATCAGAAGTGCCATATGAAAACCTCTAGGCTGTTTATTTGCCGTGTACGACCGACATTGCTCAAGCCACAGAGCCATGCCACCAATGAGGCCAAGTGAGGTGGCACCAAGGCTGGAGTGTCCACATCTGCGGTTGCATCATAGCAGCCGACTAGGAGGGAGGGCAAAAATGCCCGCCCCAGCCAGCATCTGTCATTGGAATGGCCCCACCAACCCACGTAGGCATTTTAGTAAATATATGAAATCAGAAGTGCCATAAATATGAAAACCTCTAGGCTGTTTTTTTTTTTTGCTCCTACACAAGTGGGTGAAAAAAACCCTGAAGTGGTGATGCTTTTTACACAAATGAACTGCTTTACGAAAGTACTATTTTCAGAGTTGCTGGATGAAAGCTATCTACAGATAAATCATAATTCCTATCCAATGGCTTGCAGAAATAATCAGTAGTAAAGCATCCATCATGTTGATTGATTGCAACACTGAGAAAATGCATCTGCTCACAGCTACTGTTCATCGTAAAGGATATGGTTGGAATAAATAAGTTCACCTAGGAGTAGTTGATATTTATTTCTCTGGCTGATTTCAAGAACAGATTTGTATATATACCTTCTCTGTACCTCTGCCATGTACTTCTATTGCTGAGTTACATTGATGATATATTTTTCATTCAGCAAGGCCCACAGGAGCGATTATTGACATTCCACTCCTATCTGAATTCATATGCCAACAATCCCTTTTGCCCCTGAGGTCAGCTATTCGCAGATACACTTTCTCCATGTTCCTCGTTGTAATCAGTCAACATGATGGATGCTTTACCACTGATTTATTCTGCAAACCCAACAGATAGGAATAACTATTTGTCTACAGGTGACTTTCATCCACTTCCAAAAAAAAAAAAAAACCCCAAGAGCATTTCCATGTGGCCTGTTCATTAATGTAAGACACATCACCAGTTCAGATGAACAGTTTGAGAATACAATTCATACAAGGACAGGAGTATTTTGTCAAAAGGGCACTGCAAAGTACTAGAGGAGGCTGCTAATAAAGCTACGCTATGTGCAAGATATTCTTTGTTCAAAATCAAGCCTAAAAAAATATACTGGTGACATTCCTGGTGTATTTACTTTGTCTTCACAATCTAGGAGAGCCTACTCTATCCTTCGTAAACATTAACCAGTCTTGTCAAGTGATACTCATCTATCCAATGTCTTCCAACTCCACCATTTTTGGTCTTTATTCACTCTAAAATCCTTGTGCAACTGGCTGGTACATGTCAACTTTACTTTGCATAAACCTTTAACCACTTCCCGTCTGGCCCATGTACATAAACGGCCGGATGGGAGCAGTGCCGAAGCGGGTTGCCATTTATAAATGGCCCCCGCATTAACTCCCTGTGCGTGCTGCCTGGGAGTGTGCGGCATCGCGTTCCGGTGCCCGCTGTGTCCGGAGGACCCTGGGAGAATGTCCTTACTTTAACCACTTCCCGTCTGGTCCATGTACATAAACGGCCGGATAGGAGCAGTACCAAAGCGGGTTGCCATTTATAAATGGCCCCCGCATTAACTGCCTGTGTGCGCTCCCTGGGAGCGTGCAGCATCGCGTTCCGATGCCCGCTGTGTCCGGAGGACCCTGGGAGAATGTCCTTACTTTAACCACTTCCCGTCTGGTCCATGTACATTAACGGCTGGATTGGAGCAGTGTCGAAGCGGGTTGCCATTTATAAATGGCCCCCGCATTAACTGCCTGTGCGCGCTCCCTTGGAGCGTGCGGCATCGCGTTCCGGTGCCCGCTGTGTCCGGAGGACCCTGGGAGAATGTCCTTACTTTAACCACTTCCCGTCCGGCCAATGTACATAAACGGGCGCACGGGAGCAGTGCAGGAGCGGGTAGCCATTTATAAACGTCCTCCCGCATTCCCTGCCTGTGCGCACTCCCTGGGATAATAAAAAAAAAAAACAAACGTAAAAAAAATTTTAAATGATAATTTTTGGTTATAAACTAATTTGGATTATTTTTTTTACTACTAAAAAAATAGCTGAATACATTGTGGTCAATATTTATGAAGAAAGATTATTTATTTGCAAAATTTTATAAAAAAAAACACTTTTTTTTCCAGAATGTTTGGACTTTATTTTTTTTTCATTTACAGTTGTGCTCCAAAGTTTACATACCCTGGCAGAAATTGTGAAATTTTGGCATTGATATTGAAAATATGACTGATCATGCCAAAAAATGCTCTTTTATTGAAGGATGATGATCATGTGAAGCCATTTATTATCAAATAGTTGTTTGGCTCCTTTTTAAATCATAATGAAAACATTAATAAAGCCCAGTTACAATATGCCTGACAACACCTTGACATGCCTAACCAGGCCTTTTTGTGTCATTGATACAGTAAAGTCTTCTTTCTGGCACCTCAACCATGCAGCTCATTTTTGTTCAAGTGTCACCATATTGTGCTCCTTCAAAACAACCACACCATCTTTTTCCAGAGCTGCCTGTATTTTTCTTGTGGTTACCTATGGGTTTCCCTTTGTATCACAAACAATTCTTCTGGCAGTTGTGGCTTCAATCTTTCTTGGTCTACCTGACCTTGGCTTGGTATCAAGAGATCCCCGAACTTTCCACTTCTTAATAGGTGATTTAACAGTACTGATTGGCATATTCAAGGCTTTGGACATCTTTTTATGTCCTTTTCCATCTTTATAAAGTTCCATTACCTTGTTATGCAGGACTTTTGATAGTTCTTTTCTGATCCCCATGGCTCAGTATCTAGCCTATTCAGTGCTTCCATGTGAGAGCTAACAAACTCATTGACTATTTACACACTGACACTAATTGCAATTTAAAAAACCACAGATGTGGGACATTAACCTCTAATTGGCATTTTAACCCATGTGTGTCACCTTGTGTGTCTGTATCAAGGCCAAACATTCCAGGGGATGGAAACTTCTGATCCGAGCCATTTGGGTGATTTCTGTTATCATTATGATTTAAAAAGGAGCCAAACAACTATTTGATAATAAATGGCTTCATATGCTCATCATCCTTCAATTAAAGAGCATTTTTTGGCATGATCAGTCATATTTTCAATATCAATGCCAAAATTTCACAATTTCTTCCAGGGTATGCAAACTTTTGAGCACAACTGTATATAGCAAAAAAATAAAAATCCCAGTGGTGAATAAATACCACAAAAATAAAATTATATCTGTCTCAAAAAAATGCTAAAAAAATTCATATGGGTACAGTGTTGCATGACGCGCGCAATTGTCATTCAAAGTGTGATAGCGCTGAAAGCTGAAAATTGGCCTGGACAGGAAGAGAGTGAATGTGTCTGGACTTGAAGTGGTTAATAAGGTATTTCTGCCTCCTAAAGGCATGTTTCTCTGCGGACATTGCGATTTTAGTTTTTGGTTGGGCTACGTCTGTGAAACGACACAGGAAATACATGCTTACGTTAGCACAGAAGTCTTATCTGTACCTTCTTCCCCTGTTACAAGGCATTTCGTAGAAGCGGATCATAATGGATCACAATTACGCCTTTTGATTATAGGTGCCTAAGGTTAAATGAGAAGGGAATTGCCTGGGCATGCTGTCGTAGGCTGATAGGACTTTATTGGAGGTACATATTGGAAAGCTTGTCCCCTACAGGCTAAAGGTTGACTGTAACCAGTCTATTTTTCAATTGGGACTGCTATGCCGATTAGGCAAAAAAATACTGACATAGGCTAGGTCTCTACCAGCCCATGCAGCTGTGGTAAGGAGCTATGTTCAGGCATTCCAGAGGAAATCCCTCTACCTTGTGTTTTTCCGAATGGCGATTCACTAAGGCAATTATGTACCCCAACCTCAAAGTGATTGGTTTGCGATTGTGGTGCACCCTATTGACTTGAATGGGAACGTTTGACAGGCAGTGCAAACTCGTGCCAAAATAAATGTGCAGTGAGCGCAAAGATATAAATGAGTAGCTAGTAACAAAGTGGCAAACCCTCCTATTCCACTGAATTAGAAACACATAAACAAAGGTGCAGCGCTAGTATATAATATAATATTCGATATCATAAATAATAAAGTCCAATATTGCAGTGTCCAACAATCAGGGCTTGAAATTTCCACTCACCTGCTCGCCAATGGCGAGTGGAAATTATGGTGGGGGAGAGTGTGTCCCCCAAGGCCGTTTTGCTGTGCAGGCTCGGAGCTCAGGCCGAATCTGTCAATCACACTGGGAGCCGTCAGACTGCTCAATAGCTGAGCGTAGTGAAAGCAAAGGAAGGAGTGTGTGCTGTGCTCTCTGCCTCCCCCTAGAGTGCAGTACCCGGATCTGTGCGTGAACAACGAAGTACTGCAACTTTTTATGGGGGGGGAGGGGGGGGGTTGTGTTGTGTACGTGTACATGTGTGTGTCTGTGTATGCATGTACAATTCTACATGTGTCTGTGTGTATGTACGTGTGTGTATCTGTACATGTGTCCGCGTGTATGTACATGTATGTGTGTGTACATGTGTCTATGTGTGTACATGTGTCTGTGTGCATGTAATGTGTCTGTGTGTACATGTGTCTGTGTATGTATGTACATGTGTCTGTGTATGTATGTACATGTGTCTGTGTGCATGTACATGTGTGTGTATGTACATACATGTGTCTGTGTGTACATGTGTCTGTGTATGTATGTACATGTGTCTGTGTATGTACATGTGTCTGTGCGTGTGTATATCTGTGTATGTACATGTGTCTGTGTGTCCATGTGTCTGTGTATGTATGTACATGTGTCTGTGTGCATGTACATGCGTGTGTATTTCTGTGTATGCACATGTGTCTGTGTGCATGTATGTACATGTGTCTGTGTGTACATGTGTCTGTGTATGTATGTACATATGTCTGTGTATTTATGTACATGTGTCCTTGTGTATGTACATGTGTCTGTGCGTGTGTATTTGTGTATATGTACATGTGTCTGTGTGTACATGTGTCTGTGTATGTATGTACATGTGTCTGTGTATGTACATGTGTCTGTGCGTGTGTATTTCTGTGTATGTACATGTGTCTGTGTGCATGAATGTACATGTGTCTGTGTGTACATGTGTCTGTGTATGTATGTACATGTGTCTGTGTGTATGTACATGTGTCTGTGCGTGTATATTTCTGTGTATGTACATGTATCTGTGTGTATACGTGTCTGTACGTGCCTGTGTGTGTTTACATGTGTCTGTATGTGCGTGTGTGTATACATGTGTCTGTATGTGCGTGTGTGTATACATGTGTCTGTATGTGCGTGTGTGTACATGTTTCTGTGTGTGTATGTACATGTCTGTGTGTGTATACAGTTGTCTCTGTGTGTGATTGTTGGTGGCGAGTAACTCTAAGGCCTGGCTAGTAGCTCAGGACTTGAAATTTTAAGCCCTGCAACAATAATGTGTGAATCAATGGTGACCAGCGATGTGAAGTGACATTTGTGACAAATCCTCCACCACTATGCACTCACCAGAAGCAAGAAATAAACAGGCTCTGTATGGAAATCCCTCCAAAGGTTTCTTTCCACTGCAGGGAAATAGAGAAATACCCAAATGATATCCACTGCGGAATGGGCTCTATATGGGCATTTCTGGAAATGAACCTCCTCTGCAGCGGTCAGCGATCAATCCAAATGTGGCACATCCTGAAAGGAGCTCACATAACAGAGCCCAAAGACAATGGTATATAGTGTAGAAATATGTTCATAACCTTTTAGTTATATAACCCTTTAACCCCTCGCCTACCAGGCACTTATACCCCCTTCCTGCCCAGGCCAATTTCCAGCTTTCAGCTCTGTCACACTTTGAATAACAATTGCACGGTCATGCAACACTGTACTCATATGAAATTTTTATAATTTTTTTGAGACAGATAGAGCTTTCTTTTGGTGGTATTTAATCACCTCTTGGTATTTTATTTTTTGCTAAACAAACCAAACACAAATGAAAATTTTGAAAAAAAGCTATTTTTCTTAGGTTTTGTTATATAATTTTGTAAATAAGTAATATTTTTTTTTTCTCCTTCACTGATGTGCGCTAATGAGACTGCAGTGATGGGCACTGATAGGCTGCACTGATAGGTAGCACTGATGGGCACTAATGAGGAGGCACTGGTAGGTGGCACTGATGGGCATTGACAGGCATCACTGATGAGCACTGAAAGGCAGCACTCATATATGGCACTAATAGGCGGCACTGACTGGCACTGTTAGGTGGCACTGATAGGCAGCACTGACAGGCACTGATAGGCAGCACTGATGCGCACTGATAGGTGGAACTAACTGGCACTTATAGGCAGCACTGATAGGTGGCACTGACTGGCATTGATTGGTGGCACTGATAGGTGACACTGAAAGGCAGCTCAGATTGGCACTTATATGTGGCATTGATGTGTACTGGTAGGCACTGATATGTGACATTGATGTGGCACTGATGGGTACTGGTAGGTGGCATTGATGAGCACTGACAGCTGGCATTGATGAGCACTGACAGGTGGCACTGCTGGGGCTACACTGATCATCAGAGCACACTGAGCATCAGTGCCCTGATGATCAGTGTACATGTCCCCTCTGAGTAATACTGATTACCGGCTCTCCTCTCGAGCTGTCAGCGTGACAGCTCGTGAGGAGAGAAGTGCCGATAACCGGCATTTCCTTATTTACATGCAATCAGCTGTGATTGGACACAGCTGATCACATGACCAAGCCGATGTCTTCGGCTCTTTCCGTTGATCCGATGTATCCAAGGGACACAGCACACCCCCAGGCCGCGCGCACGCGCTGTTACAGTGGGAGGACGTCATCTGACGTCCTCGCAGAATGAAAGAAACCGCCTTGCTCCAGTCATTTCCTTATATGGCGGGCGGGAGACAGTTAATCATGTATCCATTCATAATCATATTATTGTTTAGTAATTGTATTATTGTTTATTTAATTATTTTATTTATGTATTGCTGTAAGAATGTATCGATTTCTAAACATTAACTTTAATTGATTTAATAACTAATTGTGTATTAGTATCTTACATTGTAATATTTGGAGTTGAGGGTTACTGCATAAAGATACTAAAACATTGCTATGTCCTTATACCAATTGGTGATTTAGCATAACATAATATACATATTAGAAAAAACTAAGAATATCAACGCTCCATTGTTTTAATATATATACTTGTTATATTCACTCCTTGTGCCTAGAGGATTTTTGACCGAAGAACCAGTGTTTCGCAGCATGTTTAATTAGTTTTTGTATAGGTTATGGCAAGCACTAAGTTTCTTGATCGATATATGGGATCGGCCATGTTTCCGGAGCCGTCCAATTAACTTTCAGTATTCTTGCTGACTGGTGTTCAATGAGGAACCAGGTGCCCTTATATAAACCTCCCCAGGTATGGCAGTCGTCACTTCCTGAAGATTCCTTTTTGGGCGAAACGTATGTCGGAGTGTCATTACGTCACTTCTGGGTCCGGGAATAGCTAAGTGAAAGCGAGGCTTGAAGTGTCTATCTTTATTTCTAAATAAAAAAAGAAGTCTGAAATAAAGAAAATAAAATGTGGCCACCACATCGAAGGACTGGTAAGCTGAAATATATTTAAATTTTCCTTCTTGGTTTTCAGTACACTTTAAGAAACACAGAAGTGGCGAGGTTAGCTGCTGCTCTGACCCCATTGTATGTGTAATTAGCAGTTTGAGCTATTGAGCTCTGTAAAGAACAGATTTCTTTCTAGCAAATCAGATAACAGTAACCTGGAAAACATGGAAACAGGGGTCCGCAGCCCCATGTAGTGGTTTAAAATCTGAATACAAAATATTCATGTGAAATATTTCATAGCTACTTAATACAAATAACATTTGCAGTCCCAACCATAAATAAACTGGATAATATATGCAAACCACTGCACTCCCTTTAGGTAATTAAAACAATAGATCGCAACACTTGGGAGAAAATCACCCAATCCTTTTTCATGATGAGCCAAGACTGCTATAATTAAAATGGCTGTATTGTTTGGTTAATTGTAATTCATTAACAATGAGTGTGTGATTAGTTACACCAGAGGCCAGCAATAAATCAAAGACTCGACTTGGCTAATGAATTAATTTGCTTGTAAAAAAGCATTTCTGGAAATCTGTGAAACCATGAAAAATAATGTCGGCGAAGAAAACATCTATTATCTCTGTACATTTACATAATATTAACAGACACAGCTTTGTCATGCTTGGACAAGCCTAAAATAAATACTTCATACAATGACAACTACTGATTAGAAGGGAATATGTCAGAATAAGGGAGGGGGGGGGGGGTGACAGCACTGTCTTGTTTCTGATGATGCACATTCAAAGACTGTCATATTCATTCATATTTAATGTTTTGTAAGCGACTGACCTAGAGAAAGCATGCAACCAGTCAAGTAGTGAACACCTGTTATACTAGTCAGAAACTTAGCAATTAGTGAAGGAAAGAGAAGTTGAAGGGTCTGGGCTGGCCCCCTATGATAACCTCTGTAGAGCTAGTGAAGGAAAGAGAAGTTGAAGGGTCTGGGCCGGTCCCCCTATGATAACCTCTGTAGAGCTAGTAAAGGAAAGAGAAGTTAAAGGGTCTGGGCTGGCCCCCTATGATAACCTCTGTAGAGCTAGTGAAGGAAAGAGAAGTTGAACGGTCTGGCTGGCCCCCTATGATAACCTCTGTAGGGCTAGTAAAGGAAAGAGAAGTTAAAGGGTCTGGGCTGGTCCCCCTATGATAACCTCTGTAGAGCTAGTGAAGGAAAGAGAAGTTGAAGGGTCTGGGCCGGTCCCCCTATGATAACCTCTGTAGAGCTAGTGAAGGAAAGAGAAGTTGAAGGGTCTGGGCTGGCCCCCTATCATAACCTCTGTAGAGCTAGTGAAGGAAAGAGAAGTTGAAGGGTCTGAGCTGGCCCCCTATGATAACCTCTGTAGAGCTAGTGAAGGAAAGAGAAGTTGAAGGGTCTGAGCTGGCCCCCTATGATAACCTCTGTAGAGGCTAGTGAAGGAAAGAGAAGTTGAAGGGTCTGGGCCGGTCCCCCTATGATAACCTCTGTAGAGCTAGTGAAGGAAAGAGAAGTTGAAGGGTCTGGGCCGGTCCCCCTATGATAACCTCTGTAGAGCTAGTGAAGGAAAGAGAAGTTGAAGGGTCTGAGCTGGCCCCCTATGATAACCTCTGTAGGGCTAGTGAAGGAAAGAGAAGTTGAAGGGTCTGGGCCGGTCCCCCTATGATAACCTCTGTAGAGCTAGTGAAGGAAAGAGAAGTTGAAGGGTCTGGGCCGGTCCCCCTATGATAACCTGCTGTAGAGCTAGTGAAGGAAAGAGAAGTTGAAGGGTCTGGGCCGGTCCCCCTATGATAACCTCTGTAGAGCTAGTGAAGGAAAGAGAAGTTGAAGGGTCTGGGCCGGTCCCCCTATGATAACCTCTGTAGAGCTAGTGAAGGAAAGAGAAGTTGAAGGGTCTGGGCCGGCTATGATAACCTCTGTAGAGCTAGTGAAGAAAGAGAAGTTGAAGGGTCTGGGCTGGCCCCCTATGATAACCTCTGTAGGCTAGTGAAGGAAAGAGAAGTTGAAGGGTCTGGGCGGTCCCCCTATGATAACCTCTGTAGAGCTAGTGAAGGAAAGAGAAGTTGAAGGGTCTGGGCCGGTCCCCCTATGATAACCTCTGTAGAGCTAGTGAAGGAAAGAGAAGTTGAAAGGTCTGGGCCGGTCCCCCTATGATAACCTATGTAGAGCTAGTGAAGGAAAGAGAAGTTGAAAGGTCTGGGCCGGTCCCCCTATGATAACCTCTGTAGAGCTAGTGAAGGAAAGAGAAGTTGAAGGGTCTGGCCGGTCCCCCTATGATAACCTCTGTAGAGCTAGTGAAGGAGAGAGAAGTTGAAGGGTCTGGGCTGGCCCCCCTATGATAACCTCTGTAGAGCTAGTGAAGGAAAGAGAAGTTGAAGGGTCTGGGCTGGCCCCCCTATGATAACCTCTGTAGAGCTCTTTATCAATGGCAGACACTTTTTTATGATGTTTTATGTGCATTGGTAC